TGGAGGGAGAGAGCTGTGGCGTATCTTTGACAGCAGCAGTGGAGGAAATGAAGCGCTGATTGCGAGCCAGGCCTGAGCTGCGCATTAATATGAGGGGAATCAACATCACCCTGATTACTGCATGTGAGAAACAGATGCCACTACCTCCTCTTTCTGTGGATGCAACAAAAGGCATTGTGCCTGCTCCGGAAAATTGGGTGGGAATAACACAGGCTGCATATACTTATGATAAAAGGAGGTGAGGGGGGCGGGGAGGGTCCCGAGTCATTCTCAAAGCTTTAGGAACACTCACTTTTTGGCAGAAGCATTAAGTTTTTGCTTTAGGCTTTTTTTTTTGAAGAAAAAAATAATTCCGTATGAATCGGCAACTGCTTAGTGCAATTGTCAAAAATACGGTGTGTTATTATAGCCCCAACTGTGAATGCCTCGATGCGTCCCCCAAGCCCTCGCTCAAAACCGTCCCCACATAACAAACTCACGCAAACCCATTCATTCTCAGTTGTGCCTGAAGACTCCGCTTACGTGTGCTTGTAACCCCCACACCACCTTTCTTTCTTGCCTGTGCTGGAAATGCTCTCCTGTGCTCGCATGGACAGCACTTATCCAAGTCAGCCCAGTGAAAAGGCCATGAGCAACCGGGAACAGCGGTCTTACGGCCTTAGTCTTTGCAATCCTGCACCTTGCTGCACCCTTGGCAACAAATCTTATTTTTCCTGCCCTTCACTCCTCTTGTGATGGCATATGTTATATGCCTTCTAAAATACCGATTTGGTTTCCAAGAAAAACCACTGTAAATAACAGGAGAAACATGTATTAACCAAACCTATCTGTTACTCTGAATTTAACTATCTAGCCATAGATTGGGTCGTAAAATAAATCATTCCCTGATATTAGAATACAATAAAGAAAGTTCAAGCAGTCCTTTGACAGACTGGCCACTGGAACTTTTTTTACATTTATTGGGGGGAATAAATGTGGAGGACCAATGTGATATGTTAAATGGAAAAATAATACACTAGGAAGGTATAAATGTAGTGCAAAATAACAGAATTTTCTTCTGAATATATATGCACACATATAACATTTATATATGCATCTTTTATATAGCAGAGGGGAGGGTTTACATTTTAAATTTGACAGAATGAAAGAAAATTTGAGACATTTTATCCAAACCTGCCTCCTGTACCACAAGCATAGTTAGTATAAAACTAAAATGTCTGCTGAAACCTCAGAGCAATTCAAATGAGCCTTAAATTACCTCCCCACAATCACCTAATTCTTTTCCCATCGCCCCCTCCCCAAATCACAGAAATGACATCCCTCACCCCCACAGTGTGTCAGAGCTAGGTGTAATCAAACAGAATATGGACGGAGCAAACGTCTGTAATCAAAAGCCTGCTACGTGTTCACAGAGTGACTGAGCTGCCGCTGGAGAAAGGGCCTTGATTAAACCAGGGAGCCTCATTTCTGGCACATCTTTGACCAGTTAGGCTGGCGCAGATTCTGCCCGTGGTCTGCAATTCCTCGTCCCTCCTAGGGGATTGTTCTGCCTCTTCTACAGCTCCTCCTCCTCCAATCAAGGGCCTGACACTGCCCATTGACCACATTTATTTTTCTGCCTTTTGGCACTGGGAGCTTGTCTGTTGCAGGATAAAAGTGGAATTCTCTGCTGTCTGCAAGGCTTTCCCCAGGGAACAGAGCATGAAACCCAAACTTATATATAAAATCATATCCTGTTTGCAAACATCATATTCCCTTTGCTTCTCACTAATCTGGTCCTGTAAACCCCAGCACAGCTTGAGAGCCCATTCCTCATCTAAACAAATGCCATAAGCCCCTTTATACTTTTACAACCATGTCAAAAAATAATATTGCCTGCCAATAGTGATGTGATTGGAGTTGCCTCCTCCGAGCCATAAAAGAAGTACGGAGTCTGTTATCAATTTCTCTAAGTGTATCAGGGGAATTATGGGTCGATTCAGTTCCAAGTTATAAATGACAACTCAAAAGCCGCAGAAGCGTTTGAAGCTGGGAGCTGATGACGACATTATCATAAAAGCCTGCTCGTCCTTGCTTTTGTGGGTTTTTTTTGTGGCCTATCAAGTGAAGAGGGAAAAATAAGGCTGAGAAATGACTTCAAGATTTCTTCACACAGCAGCAGGTCAGATGGCCAGGAAAATGATCACTATTTTTAGTGATATACCCTGAGGAGTGAGAACTAAAGTGGTCCTGCACTGGCGTTTGTTTCCAGAGTCCCTTAATTATCTGTTTCACTATACGATGACCAAGTCCTGGGATTTGGTAAAATGTTCTCTTCAACTGGTGCATTTTCTTGCAGTGCAATCACACAGTAATGAGAAATGAGTCATGCCATCGTAACTAAGCAAAATGAGAACCAAACACAAAGGAATTCGGAAACCTTGAGATGGTTGCTCAAAATGCAACTCGGGAGAGCCCAATTAAAGCACCTTAAATACTGTTCACCCATTGAGCTCTGTGAACAGCACTGCCAAATTATCACATGGAATTTTAGGGGGAAATTTCTGGTTTCATAATGTCCCAGGTAGTCTCCTCAAAAGCCAATTAATCCTAAGCACTGAGTAAGTATATAATAAACCCATCTGGTAGGAAGGTCTACGTTCTAAGTGACTGGAATTCACTTTAACAATTGGGGAGCATTAAGTATTTTAGAATTTAAACCAATGGGTCCACCTTAGATAATTTGAACCAGAAGAGTGCCTGAAGACAAAAGCAATTTCAGTGGTTTCCAAGCTCACTAGGGCACCACCCTGTTGCCAAGCTCGGCCACTCCAAGTTCATTCTGGGTCTCTTTTGTATACTTAATGTGTCTAGGACTGTCCTGGAGGTAAAAGCTGAGACTAGTACAAATCCAGAGGACCCAGAGTGTCTCTTAGGACTAACACATATATCAAAACCAAAGATCTTAGGGGGCAAGATGGCACCTTAAGGTCTAAGAATACAATTTGGTTCCTTAAAAAAATAAAATAAAATAAAATGATATAGGACAATTTGATGCAGAGAGTTGCCTCTCTCCCGCCTTCTCCAGCATTAATGGAGTCAAGCCAATCCAGTCTTCCTCCTCTTGCGACTGCTTGGCCAAACTAGATTTATCCACCACCACTGTCATCACCATCCGGATTAGGTCAGTGTTTGAGGACACTATTAAGGACTTACTCTATGACACTCCGTGTCAGAAGTAGCCATCACCATTCATTGGGTACTTCTAAGAGGTCATTAGCAGTTCTAGCTAAAGATAAGAAATGGCCTTGGTGTGGATTTAGAGCAGTTGAGTACAGTTACTCTGTGTTCGAAGGATAGTGAGTTATAGGCACAGCCCAGTTCAGACTTGGGAGGTGGGTCCTATTGAGCTGTCCTCATTTCAACTCTGGGTCATGAAGTAAATATACTCGTAAATGAGGGTTTGATGACCACCTCTCTTTCAACAGTTTGATTTCCTCCCCTTCACTGTACCCACTAGGTAGCTCTTAGCTTTGTTTTATTCTTTGCTTCATTTGCAGGTAATCAGCCATTCTCTTAAAATGGCCACTTGGGATGTTACAAAATAAGTTCAAAGCCAATGAAACCCCTTTTAAAAGTCAGTCTGTCCTCTGCTTTCTAGAATGATTTTGTAAGCTCCTGGCTTCATGGGAAGTTTGCTAAAAAACAGCAAGGCTTAATGTAGGAGTGGTGATTGTCCTGTGCTGGGGGTCAAAAAGCAAAGCTTGCTGGTAAACTGCCACACAGGGGACCACACTACATTAGCCACATGGCTGCACTGCTAGGCTCCAGGGACTGGTTAGCCTGCTGCAGATGAAAGCCGTAGAAGGAACTCCTCTACATGGACACACACGTCAACCTCACACTTTCGGCCTTTCTCACCCTTCACTGTGTGACTTCAGGAAAATAACCTCACTTCTCTGAGCCTTTAGGTTCTCATCTGCAAAACGCTGTTAATAACAATGACTATTTTACCAAGTTGTTATGAACCTCTGTTGTATGTTCGTGAACTGTAAAGTCCAAACATATTGATTGTAGTTGCCATTCCTATTTCTAGAGGGCAGAATCACAGGTAAAGGAATAGCAAGTCTATTCTTGATAAATCCAGCATCACTAAAATGAAAGAACTAGCTGGAAATATATGGGAATTCCCTTTATAAACTTCAGTTATAGCAAAATATTGCCTAAAACATGACATACACAGGACCAGTTTTGTTCTTTCCCTTTAATATTCAAGAAACCTAATTGACTTAAATTCCTTAGTACTTGGAAACCTGATCTAGAATTATGTTGTCCTAACATGAGTTAGCACTTAGTTCTACAGGATGATGGTTTATTACTGGTAAGGGTTAACTTTAAATAGATTGCAGGCTATAGGGTATGTTCTAATCATCCACAAAAATGTAGACATTTTTCTTCATATGTCGCTGGATTTGAACAAATTTGTCCTTGCAATGTGGTATAAATATCCTGGGTCAAAAAGGCTTTGTTAATTATCGAAGACAAAATGGCCCCAGGGGGTTCACAAACAAAATGTCCCACAATGCAAAGCGCTTTGTGAAGTTTATGCCGTTTTCATCAGGAATATAATGTATGTGCATACTCAGTGTGACTCTACTGAAAATTGAATTCTGCTACAAAACTGTATTAAACCCTCTCATGTTACCTTTTCTCCAGCTATATAAATATCTAGCAAAGCCAGCTTTGTGAACATGTGAACTGTGCAGTCACACAGCACCCTATAGTTAGATATGCCCCATACTTGGTTTAATTCACTATTGTCACCATCTTGAAATTCTTAAGTTTTGAACAAGCGGATTTGCATTTTCATTTGGCATTGAGCCCTACAAATTATGTAGCCGGTCTTGAAGTCTAGTTTAACTTTTACTGAGAAACAACTTTATACATAATTGAATATATAAATCAAAGGAGATCTTTTTGCAAGTGTGTTGTTTAAAAGCAGTAAACAAGCTCATACTTACCCCAAGTCCACCACAAGGTAATGAAGAAAAAAACTTTTGAGAGGTGTCACCTACACAATAAGAAAACATGAAAAATATATAAATTGGGAATATATAGTTTTTTACATTTTAAATATTAATACTACTAAAAACAAATTTACAGTTTTTGGATAAGTGTTTATTAACATATTATTTCACATGGTATTTATCATTTAACTTAGGAGGAAGCTAATCAAATTGGAGATAGGTAAGAGTTCAAAGCAAGTGAATGCATATTATTACATATAGAGTTTATTGCCCTACATGAACAAATACCTACGAAATTTGAGTCTCAAGGTTTGTTTTAACTGCCCTACACATTGTATATATCACAATCTTTTTATTTATAATCTATTATTAATAACTCATTCACTATGTATTCCTCTAATGTGATGTTTTGACCCACATGATTTATGAAATACATTGTCATTTTTAAATGTTTCAAATATTAACATGTCTATTCAAATATATCAATTTATTTTTAATTTCTACTTCAGGTATAGCTAAGGCCAAATATACTATAAGCCTCTCAAATATTCACAGTTTTTTAAACAAACAAGTCAGAACATACTTCAAAGAGTATAACACTATTTGGGGATCTATATAATATAAATATATCTTCTTTAAAATATATGCCTGTCTCCTAGAATTGATAGTTCATGGAATTTTAAATCATTTTGTTTACCTGCACTTTTATTTTTTATATTATCTACTACATGAATAGAGAAAACAAAAATAACTACTTTAAACCTCTAAGGCTAAAATCTGCCTTACAAAGTAACTAAAGGGAAAGGCAATGGGTGTTTCTATATCATAGTTAGATGGTTCTGAAGTGACTCAAATGGGTCACTCAAGAGATTAGTGGTAGAAGAAGGTATAAATTTCCATTTCTCCTATCCCAATTCATTGATTCGATTGATGATCAATGAAATAATAATGAAAATTGAAAACAGGTTTGTTGTGGAATTCACATGCCATGTCAGTAAACGTCTAAATAGACTTTAATGTCATAGAAAACAGTTTACTTTGAAAACAATACATTATATGAGTTTATTTTCCAGATACAATTGCTAACAGATGGAAAATGATAAAGGATAATCTAAGTACAAATGAATTAATAAGATATATCATTATATATATAAGGATCTTCATAGAAAAAATGATAAGAAGTCAACAACAAAAAACAAGTCAAGAAAATATTTTAAAACTGAAATACTGACATCAGTAAAAGATACATAAAAAAAAATTTATGGATAGTTTGGGGAGGGGTAAAGTTCCCTAAGTTGTTGTTCATAACAAAGATATTTCTGTATTACTGAATATTTCGCAAGGATGTATTCATATGTCACATATGAAATTAAGATACATAATACTGTATACTTTAATGTCTGAACTCTTCATTCCACAGTCAGTGAAAAGGGATAAATATTACAATGGAATACAGTGATTTTTAAATTTTAATTAAGCTCTAAGAGAATAAGGAAAATAAATGATATGCTGCTAAAGGAGAATTGTATTTAGTAATGTTTACATAATACAAAAGAGCCAAATAATAATTTAAATTTAGTAGTGTGTAAAAAATTTTAATTCGCTGAACTGACTGGATTTTTAAAAATAATGTTACATTGCCTTATCCATGAAGTGAGATCGGGCTAGCCACAAAAAAATGAAAACTGGTAGTAAGAACGACAGGAATATTAATGCTAAGGAAAACCTCGTACCAGAAATGATTGGACAGAATGTTTTTAAAGTGTCACCTTACAGGGTCCCAGAGTATTTAAAGAGATAAATGGTGCCTATTTTCAAATCTAATTATTTTATAAGCTATAGATACCTTTCATGATAGAAAGACTGATAGGTCTGGTCATAATGAACCTTCATTTAAATCTTTCCTCCTAACTCTAGAACATAACTATCAAGTGTAGTACTATCAATTAAACTCAGACATTTTATACAATTGAATGAGTTTAAATTCAACGTGTGTGTCCACTGACAGCCCCACCCAAATCTGAGTTGGAAGGGAATGGGGGAGGAAGAGGGATCTACAGGAGTGAAAGAAAAGGATAAAGAAAGAGAAATATCTTGATGGGAATGATTTTCTATACATTGATACATGGCAGCTTAAATCAGGGTTTTCAGATATAAATAAAAAACAAGCCCCCAATATTCAAATTTTATAAAGAACAGAAGAAGTATGAAAAGTTAAAAGAATGGGATTATTCACTTAAAACTAGAATCTAGAAAACTATGCTAAGTCTGCGGATTCACATGAGAAAGTGAAGCAGTTCAGAAGTGTTTTGAAAGTAGAATTTTGTGCTTAATTAACATAAAGACCTAACAACCCAACACCCTTGCTTATCTTGACTCATATAACCTGCACACAATATTGAAATTGTTGCACTGATCCCTGATAGGTGCCTATGGAACTCTACACATGTATCTAAACCTAATTCCAAAATCCTCAATTGTATGAATGTTATCCCACATTAAACACTCAAAACTAATGAGATAAATGGACAATTTATTTGGATTAAAACTTAAAAAAAATAAATTATTGGTACTTGGTGTATTCATTAAAGTACCAAGAGGATTGTCTACATGAAAAAGATTGTCCAAGGTCTAAATTATACACTGGAATTCATTTTTAAATTATCAAATTTTAAAATCATATCTATAAATTTTGAGAAAATGAGTTTTGTTCAAGTGTAAAATTTCATTAAAAATGGTGGTATTGCCATGTTTCATAAGTAACCAGTTCAAAGTTGTCAAAGATTGAATTTCATTTATTTTACAAATATATCTTTTCTCTTAAAATATGGAATAATGGTGGTTTTGGAACATCTCTCAAACACCTACCTGTAAGTTCATCCCAGTGAAATCCAAAATACCTTGTCCTATGCCTAGGTTGATTTATAGTTTGAGACCACAGTAAAAATAAAAAAGGGAGGGGGAGGTTAGCTACTTGTTTCCTCATAACTAAATTAAAAAAAGAATCAAAATGAATACAACTTCCTATCTTTAAGTGTGTGAGTACTCTGACCTTATAAAACCATGAAAGTTAATGTCTGGTTTACTTCATCTCTGGGTAAACCGTATGGGATTATTAATTCACGTAAAAATAAGGACACTTATTATATAGTATCCACAGCAAATGTAGTACTTTATGTAAACAATCTACATGTGCAGGGAAGGATGCCTTCAACAGAAAGAAGAAAAAAATAAGAGAGTATATATGTTTAGGTTGACTTATTTGCCTTAATATTAATATATAGATGTAATTCTATACAAATTGTTTTTCATCCTCAAATTTATATAATGTTTTCTAAAAATTGAGCCATCTTTATGTATTCTCCTGTCAATTTCTTCCCAGCACGCATGCGTGTGCACTTACACACACTCACCCATGTGCCTTTACTTCATAAATTTAAGGATGCCTGCCATTCACTGCTTTTTAAAAGGCAGATTGTAAGCGTTATAATGGGTAACTTAATTTCCCCTTATTATTGTTTTCCAAGATGCCTGCCTAGTACATGTCATATACGTGTTTTTGAATTGTTTAGGACCAGTTAACATAGAATTATTTTGAAGTAATATTGAATTAGGTGAGAGAGTCCAGTGATTTGGAACTGACCTAATAGGTTTATTTGAAAGAAAGGGACAAGAAAAAGTCCTAAAATAACTTTTTTTAGTTAAAATACTTTCAAAAATATCCTTTCAGCATACATTGCCATGTCATGTGCTGTTATTCCATTATAAAAGGTTATTAATAAACTTAATATAATAGAATTGTTTCAGTTGAAATAGGTTTTGTAATGAACTTTTTCCAAAATCTGTTATTTCTCTCATATGAAGTTTATATAAAGCTGTGCAACATTAATTTTATTTTAAAATCTGATGGCAAAGGTTTGAAAAATCACACATTAACTAAAAATTATGCTTATTAGTTTTTTACATCTGCCATCTACTTTGCTATTTAATTCCACAGTTACGGCATGCATTAAAATGATTACATTAAAATTTAAAATGCAATCTTACTATAAAATGTAGTATTCTAGGCATAGTAATAAAGAGTTTTCCCTTAAACTAAGTTGTACTATGCCCTCTGCCTGCTAAGGTCATAGAAAAAAAGAACCAAACAACACAAAACAAATGGAAAAGGTGAAGATAAATTTGCATAAAGAATGTGAAAACCTTTTTTCTTTTCATTTAAAAATGTAAGCAAACATACTCAATAATGCATTTATTCCGGTACGCTAAAACACAGTGAACAAATGCTGTTCAAATAAAGATTCATTGAAAAGTAAACATCATGGAACTTGCATGGTCATTTTTTTCTAATGCAAGATTTTTAAAAAATCTACATTGGCTTCTATTGTAAACGGCTCATTCCACAGAGCAATGCTGATGGAAAAGCTGATTTTTTGTCACACTGCTTGCCAAGTATTCTGAACTGACACCAGCCTTGACAAATGACAGTGCTGGAATGTGCTGTTCTCAGTAAAATGGAGGCCCATACAGACCTAGCAGTGTCCTGGGGTCCAGCTTCTGTCCATCCAGGGGGTTGGTGCCATACAACAGTGAGTGATGTGCAGAATGAACAAGCTGTATTTCCTCCAGGCTGGCTTTTCGACCTTGAATCCGCTGAAAGAAAACAGCAGAAGCTTACAGTATTCCACTGACAACATCTAGAAGAAAATAAGGCCCCAATCACATTGAAGATGATTAATAATGGGCTGAGTTTCATCAGGTAGGAATGTGACACTGATTTGCTTAGTAAAGTACCATAATAATATTTGAAAAATGAATGCAGGCAAGGTTCAGAACCAATGGATTGCTTATGTCTAAATGAGCAATTGACATAAAGCATATTCTTCTTTGGCATAAAAAATAAATCTATAACAAAGAAGCTAATAATTAACTCCTTTGTAAAAGTATCAACTTAGAAACAGATATGATCTATGGTTTAGTTGAGAAGTAAATTCATTGAAATCTTATTTTACACTCACCTGCAAAAGTTGTTGAAACAAATTCCTTATTGCTTCTTAAAGGACTGAAGTACCAATACATTTTAACATATTTGATTATAACAAATATGCTGATCACTTCATGTGCGTGCACCTCAAAGCAGTGTTAATCTAGACCAATGTTACTCAAAGTGGGTCCTATGGGATCAGTGACAGTCCAAGAACTGTTTATGAATGGCCTGGGATGAGGTCTATATAGAAATTCGGAGTAAATATTTAGAACCTTTTATGGTAATTTGATAGACTATTTTTTATGTCTGTTGAACCTAACATAATCTTGTCTCACATCTTCAATGTTATTTCACTTTTGTAGTATTTCATGTTAATGTATTTTATAAAAGCAGTAGTCAGTAACAGAATGGAAATTGAAAACCTGCTCCTTAACCAGAGATAGTTTGAGGCACTCTAGACTCAATATTTTTACACACACACTGGACAGATACTTTCACTTCAACTAAGAATGGTCCTTTAACAAAGACAAAAACTGTACATCAAGTGAAACCTCAGTCAGTCAATATGCAAATCATTCTTCCTAGCCACATTTCTCAGGTGGCACATCTGCGAGCCCAATAAATACATGTTGATGTATGAAGTTAATTAGCCTTACTTTTGAAAATTGCTGTTTCCTAAAATTACCTAGATGGTATTAATATTTCAGTAAAAATGTGTATCACAACAAAGTGCTTGTAAGGTAATATATTAATAGAGAACTATGTACAGTGAAATTCAAAGAGAAACTGCTCAGGGAATGTTCTGTCCTATTCTTGACCATGGAATCAAGAGTTGACATGGAAACATCAGGTGACACCACCACCTCTCTCTGGACTGGGACAATTCCCTATTCACCCTCCCTAATTTAAGGGGATATGGCTGCTGTCGATGTGTGGTTCACTGAAGGAGCATGCCAGGAAACCTCAATATACTGCTACTTCCTAGGGGTTTACTGGGTAGTGGGCAGAGCTGTGCTTGTCACTGAAAAGGAATCGTGTAACAGTGAGAGAGGAATGGTGGGGAGACCTGACGGGTAACAGGTCAAGGTAACAAGAGTGACAAAAACCAGAAACTTCTTGACACTGTGCCATTATGTGCAAACAAACAAATGCTTATGGAATTTTCTTTGTCATAGTATTGAAGTTCCCTCTTTTTGATACCCAATTTACATTTCTCAAAAAAGTGGAAATATGTTTTAGAGACAATATTCCCAGGTAGGTATTAAATATTGACATTAAACTGGATAGGTAATGCTGAAGACTAAGGCAAATTTAATGGTGGCCATCTGGTCAGCCATTGCTCTGGTCAACAAATAAACAGGTAATTGACCTGGACGGCTTGATGGTAAACATTACATTTGGAAACATTTATGGAATACCAGAACCACCAAAGAATAAATTAGGATGGCAAGTAATGAGATAAAATTAGGAAGAGAAAGTTCAAAGTCAATATGAAAGGGAAACATTTTAACTGTGAGATTTCAGCTGGTGGAAAATCCCCCAAGATAAATAGTGGTAACTCCATGGTCTGATCATCTAAAATTGGAATGAGCAGAGCACTGGAAACCAGACTGTGGCAACCAGTCGTAGTCTGGCAGAATAATGAACACAGCGAAATAACAGGGCTTCCAGATCTCATTTCTATGAATCTATGACATCCATGGCCACTAATATTTTATATGCTGATACACTGAAACATCTATCTATATCTTAAACAGTTGTCAGCTCTGTAGCTAATAATCAGACCCGCATTTTGACGGGGATCATAAAGCTTTATCGATTTTGTTTCCCTTTCTCCTTTCCTCTCTATAGTTTTTCAGCTCGAAATTGAAGTTTTGCCTCTGCTATCATGTCAAATGCCATTCATAAGAAATGCATCTTTATGTTTTCATAAACTAGTCATATATGTTTACAACCATACATTCCATGCTTATCCCACCTCCTTCCTCATTCGCCTACAATCCCACTAGCATTCAGGCTGAATAATCAATCACAAGATAATCTGCTAACAAGATTCAATTATTGGCAATTATATATCAGCTCAAGCGCTGATAAATCAGAAGAGGACACCTGCTGAATCTCAGTCATCCCCTTACATAAGAGCAGTTAAGTAACAATGAGGACGGAGCATCTGGCCCTGCCTATTCAGCCTTTACTGATTCTGAGAGTATTTCATTCTTGTTCTCCCCCATCACTATTAAAATGTAACACAGTTCATAAGTTTTCACTTTGATTTCTTTTCTCCCCTCACCCCCCACCCCCACCTACTTCCTTCTGACTCCCAGGAAATATTTTACACTGGCTCTTTTTATTATTATAGACTATATTTCCTTGGAAAAAAATAATTACACTAATTATAAGGAATCTTATATTTAGTTCTTAACAATCGCCTTCTACTTCTGTGAGTGCTGGAGAATTAGACCCACAAACAGGATGTACATGTCTACAGAAACAGAACAGTGAAGAAAACAATTCAATATGAAAAATGTTTCTACCTGGAAAAGGGATCTGGAGAAAGCCTGTTTGGAGATTTATATCTCATAGGGGCACTGCTATGGGAACTTGGGGGATGACTAAGCTAAAAATTCTGAAATGGCAACAGCTTTCCTTCTTTCTTAACCCATATATCTCCTGGAGTAGTTCCGTCTTGCCTCACTTTTATCAGATGTCTTCCATTTGTCAATTTCGCTTTTTTTGTCCCTTTCCAATTGAGGTCTCCAATGGTTTTCATTTTCTGGTATTATCATCAGTGATTTATTATATTACGTGTTTATGCTTAAATATAGATATTTTCATTTAATCCCTTCCCATATTTTCTACTTCCTGTGTACCCTTGACTCCTTCATGTCTCTCTCATGATGCTCTCTAGAGTCAAAAGTCAGCAGCGTAATGAGTCACAAAATAGGATAAAGTGGTCCGGTAATCATAATTTAGGGAGATACTGACTTCCGTTCTCAGAGATAGTTACTCTGCAGGATGCCTACCCCAAATCATCTATGACTCTGACCAAAAGGATTTCGGAAGAATTCTGAGTATATTTGGAAACGCAATGCATTTTAAGCGACAGTGTTCATTTGGGTGTTTCTTGAGATCTCGCTTGAGATCCAAATATAGGTCTTCAATACCTTGCTAATATAGGCCTAAGAAAGAAAGTGTATATAGTTTTTCTTTCATGTTCTTAATAAAGAAACCCCGTCACGCAGGCTGTGTGTGTTCATTATTATACTTTAATTCTCTGTGGCTTGCATTCAGGCAGTTTCTTCCCTGAAAGTCGTTAATGAGCCCTGAGAACTTACTCTGTGCTAAGCACCTGAGGAATAGGAGCTGATTTAGTTCAAAGCCCCGGTCTACATTCAGGTCTGAAGCTGGACTAACGTAGTTTAAAATGACCATATCATTGAGTCACACAACACACCATGGCTCTTTCCTAAAGAAATAGTCTTTCTGAAATAAGGCCCGTTAATGCAACCTGATTAGAGAAGGAATGTTCTGAACATGATCAACAAAGTCAGACTGTGACAGGATAAAATGCAGCCTACCCACACCCACCCACACACAGAGCACACACACGGTATAGATTCATTTTTTTTTTTTTTTCTGCCAAGGAGCAGGGGGAAAAGGAAACAGTTCTATTCCTTCCCCTCCTGTGTTCAAAGCCTGGATGGAGGCCAGTGTCCTAATCAGTTCTCATTGGCCCTGGAGGAATCAGAACCTTTTGTAAAATATAATAAAGGGCATAAAATCATGATAAAATGCATGAAAAAGCAGTGCCTTTGGTTAGGGAACTAGAAATAATTTAGCAGAACAGATGGATTGCATTGGTTTGGTATTATTGAGGACATGAAAGGGCTCATTTTGTGGCAGTTCCAAACTAAGAAAATGTCCAACTTAAATTTGACAAGTCAAAGTACCTGCCTCTGCTGGGGGAGACCCCATTTTCTTTAATCATTTTCAAAGTGGTGACATATTAGGCAAGAATTTCCACTGAAATATCTCATTTTCTGAAAATATTTCATCCAGTGTCCCTAAATAGAAGGATGCGTCTTTGTTTTTTGGGTTTTTTTGCCTTCCAAAATCCACAGGGCTGCAGACTTACAGAATTAAAGAATCATAAATGACTCAGGAGTGTCAAAGTTACCCTTTGTTACAAATTCCATCCTTGACATTTAATGAATCAGTTCACGGCCTGCTTATTATTCTTGATACACTTTTCTCTCTTAAACCAATAAAAAAAAAAATCTGGTCTTATGCTCATGCCCAAGTGTACCTACTGGAGTTTTCGAATGCTACAGCCAATTACTTTTTATTACATAAAAGACAGTTTCTATCCCCTCCCACCAAAAGCATTCTCACTTTCCATCTAGCCTTCATCTTCTCATAATCTGTTCTCCTCAGAGTTTTTCTTATAAAGAAAGGGGAGTGAAAAATGGAAGGCTGCGAGCAGCCCCAACAGGCCTTAGGTGCTTTGCATGGGTCACACAGAAAGAAAGTGAATTAAAGTTAGGAGCCCTGAGTTCTGAGTTCTGACTCTCATGTGTCCTTAACATGCCCATAAGCCAGGCTGAGGCACCTTCCTGGACTACTGTTTCTTCACTTATAAACATAAGGAGGTTTGACCAAATTATTT